CGCGGTGTGCTAGAGTGAGACAGCATATCTGAGATACTATCTGTCTCTCAGCCACACTTTTCGCAATGGCATGCTACCTCTAGTAGTATAGTAAACATAACCTGTTCTTTTTCTTGGTTTTAATACTTTTAATTATTATACATTAATTTCTGATTCATTATTATAATCCGAGGTAATAAAGAGATTGTTAGCTATGTAGTAGTGTTACACGTAAATTGAGTTTTTTTTATTAAGAGAAGTTTACATTATTTGGTTAAATACAGTTTAGTTAAATAATTTAGATTAGATTATATCGGTCTGAATTTTATAAATTTTGTTCAAAAACTTACGAAAGCGTATTTATTTTCTAAACATATTTTAAAATGTAAGTTTACTATAATTTTTACTTCATTATTAACTATTTACTGGGTATAGTATTACTTATAAATAAATAATCACTAATAAAATACACAAGAACAAGATAACTAAACTGAACAACTACTCGACATCATAAAATAAGGTTTTTAATGCATAAAGCTGAGATATAAAAAGGTTTAAGTGAGGTTAGTTATACAGGGTGGTCCGAATTTTATGCAGGAAACTTCGAGGGTAGATAGATCTCTTTAAAATAGTAGGTGTTTGCCTTATAAACATAGATCCGGAACGGCCTCGTTTTAGAGATACAGGGTGTTGAAGTTGTTAAAAAAAATAGATTTTTTGTTTATATCTCCGGAATGCATCAACCGATTTTAATATAATTTAGTGCAGATAATATATGATAGTAGGCCTCGTATTCCCTAAAATATTAGCTCTAAAGGTCCAACCAGTGGTGTACAACTGGACAGGGTCACCCCCTTTTTTATAAAAAAAAAAACCTACGCCACTGTATTTTTTACAAGCTGTTGTACCGAATTTATATTCTAATGCACAAAATACGTAAAAAAGATAACTTGAATTTTGTCCTTAAAGTTCACCGTTCTCAAGTTATTCAGACCAATACAATCCCCTTGTGGCAGACATAATACCATAATATTACAAACATATTTATGTTTATGCTTAAAAATAAGTGCAATTTGTAAGCACATCAACAAAATTCATTACACTCATCGCTTTCATCTTTTTGGATTAAAACAATATTTGGAAAATCACGTCGAAGGAATGAAAGGCACAGAAATGAAATTTTAAAAGCATTTGACGACGATCCTCGGCTAAGTACACGAAGAACGTCTCGGCAACTTGGGGTGAGTAAATTGAAAATTTGAAAAGTTCTACGTAAGGATGGCAGAAATCCGTACCATTTACAACCTGTGCAAAATTTACTTCCGGGAGATGCAAAGAGACGCCTGAATTTGTATCAGTAGTTGTTTGAATTCTTACCAGAAATACTTTGGACCGATGAGGCTACGTTCACAAGGCGAGGGGTAGTGAATTTTCACAATCTGGATATTTGGTCACAAGAAAATCCTCATGAAATTCGGAGTCATTTCTAAACTTTCTAGAAAACCATCTATTTGAATTATTAGAGGATGTTCCATTAAATCTACGACAAAATAGCTGGATACAAATGGATGGTGCTCCTGCGCATTTTAGGAGAATAATACAAGAATGGCTTAATGAAAATTATATGAGATGATGGATAGGTAGAAGACCAAATGCCAATGTCAACCATAATGGTGCCGAGGGTCCAGTGTCTTGGCCAGCCAGATCGCCAGATCTAAACTCCCTGGACTTCTATGTTTGGGGTGACCTACTTGAAAAGTTTACTCTACTCCAATAGATACTAGACCACAACTAATGCAGCGAATAGAAGACAGGTGTAATGAATTAAAAGAAAACCACCACATGATTAGTTCCATTAATAGAAAATGTCAAAAATGTATCGATGTGGGTGGTTCGAATTTTAAACAATTGCTGTAAATACTTAACGTTAATTTTGTTTCTTGTTTAGTTGTTGTTGCTTGGTAAAATACATGTATTTTTATTATTTTGATTTAAATTCTTATTTGTAAAGATAATGCCTCCAGGGAAAACTAAAACACACCAGGTACACTACCTCACAAGTGATGTGGAAAGAATTTTGTTGATGTGTTTACAAATTGCACTTTTATGCATAAACATAAATATTTTTGTAATATTATAATTGAAGTGTCTGCCACAAGGGGATTGTATTTGTATGAATAACTTGAAAATGGTGAACAGTAGATATGCTATGTGCGTATGGAGCCAAAATCCCATGTATTTTCTTATGGAGGTTCATATTAGCAGTTTTTGACGAATTTTACCCCCACTCCTCCACCTTTTCCCTTCCTCCTCCCTTCCCCGCCAGCCAATCAGAGCGCAGCATTTTGGCGGGAAATTCAAAATGTAGTCATCTAGGTCTTTACCCCGACCTAGGGCTTTGCCCCCGCCTAGGACTCTGCCCCCTAGGGCCCCCATGCAGGTATCTCCACGTAGGTATGCAGAATCCCACACGTAGGCGCGTGCTTCCTGAGACCTCCACCTAGGACTTTGCCCCACCTAGGGCTTTGCCCCTTAGGGCCCCCATGCAGGTATCTTCATGTAGGTATGTAGGATTTCCCACGTAGACAAGAGTATTGTGCGTAGGCCTTCGCGTGTACCCCCGCGTAGGTATACCTAAATTGTATAGGGCTTCGCCCGCCACCGCGGACCCCAAAACGTGGTCGAGCGGAAACCTAGGCAGTAGTCGCGATTTTCATTTCACAATAGTAGTTTATAACGCGGCCGAGCGTGTATCTGTAGATGGCGTTGCAAGTGGAGCGCGGTAATGTAATCATAAATGCCTGCATATTTAATTATTACAGACTAGGGATAAAAAATATTTACTGGATTTCACTTTAGGAATGTTCGTTAAAATAGAACAGAAAGGGTCAATCCTTCTTCGTCTTAAATGTTCATATATATTTATTAAATTCATATTAAAGCCCAATGGCAAATTCTTTTAAATAGCAAATTGTATTGAAATAGAAATTATTCCGTTTAGGTGTAATAAGAAAACCAAGTCAACAAACGCTAGCACAGCTGCCTTTTGCTGTCTCAGCTAAACAGCCAGTGGCCTGTTCTGGCGATATCAACTGCAGTCACTGCACTTTGCGGCTTTTCTTGGCTAAGACTGNAATAATCGTACTATTTTTACTATAAACGTATTTCCTGTAGCGACATCTATATGAATATTGTAGTACTTTGTTAGATGAAACGGGACTTCAATTTCCGTTCTTTTAAGGCTTTATCAATCATTACAATTGACAATAGTATTAAATAAAACTTACAAGCGGCAACTCGTAGCTCTGGTAACTGGCTCTGGTAACCGGCAACTCGTAACTGGTAAATCGTAGAGAGCCAACGAACAACGTGTGTACACGGACACACACCATGTCAATGTAATATAATCTCTTGTAAAACCAGTTTCATTGTTAAATAAAATATTACTAGTAAATTCATTATCCTCAGCTTATTTTTCCACAACGTTATTACAGAGCTGAAAAAAATTTATTATTACAGAAAGAATTATCAAAAATTTGATGTTTAATAACACATTAATAGCGATTTCCTGGTAAATGGTTACATTTATCGGCTTCAACAAAGAGTACATAATTTTTTCTGATATTGTTTCTCTTTTAAATAATGCTTACATTATTATACGGGTATTCACAGTCATAATTATAAAACTCTAATCGTGGAANTTGTAGTGCTTTGTTAGATGAAACGGGACTTCAATTTCCGTTCTTAAGGCTTTATCAATCATTACAATTGACAATAGTATTAAATAAAACTTACAAGCGGCAATATAACTGGTAAATCGTAGAGAGCCAACGAACAACGTGTATACACGGACACACACCAACGCAATGTAATATAATCTCTTGTATAACCAGTTTCATTGTTAAATAAAATATTACTAGTAAATTCATTATCCTCAGCTTATTTTTCCACAACGTTATTACAGAGCTGAAATAAATTTATTATTACAGAAAGAATTATCAAAAATTTGATGTTTAATAACACATTAATAGCGATTTCCTGGTAAATGGTTATATTTATCGGCTTCAACAAAGAATACATAATTTTTTCTGATATTGTTTCTCTTTTAAATAATGCTTACATTATTATACGGGTATTCACAGTCATAATTATAAAACTCTAATCGTGGAAATGGTGAAGAATGTCAGAATACATAGTTGGATATTTAATGAACCTGAAACTACATTATGGACTCTCATGTAGATTATTTCCGGATAATTTAGGTGACAATAGCGAACAGCAAGGTCAACGATTTCACCAAGATTTAAAGGTAACAGAAAAAAGGTATTAGGGTAATTGAGACGTGAATATAATGGCGGAACGGACTACTTTTAAAGTTGAAAAGAGTAGAGGTAAAAAGAGAAAGGGAAACCCGCAACATAGATTTTTTGAAAACAAAAGAATTCGTTATAAGCGAAATTGTTCTTGTATTTTTTATCCTAAATTGCATACCTCCCTGGTATATTCGTAAAAATTCCTTTTTAGGAATTCAGTGGGCATTTAGTCGACAAGATTAGTGTTGATGCCAAACTAACTTCAATTTCATATTTAACGGATTTGATGATATGGCAGGATTTTGAGATATTTATTCTTTGAGGATTTGGGATTTTCTCGTAAATGGTGGGTGATGGCGCCGAACTGATTTCGTATTCAGCGGTTTCAAGAATAAGGTTATAAGGCTATGGAACCTAATATACGGACCAGCTTCTTCCACAATATTGCCGTCGTTAAGTATATTCACAAATAACCCATTTTTTGAAGATTTGGGTGGCACTTTCTCGAAAATGGCTGTGCCAAAATCTGATTTCAGGTTCATATTTAGCGTAAACGTAACAATAACGGAATCTGACCGTAAGACCACTTTTCTGCATGTCTGTGTTTTTTGTCAATGAAAATTGGGATGTTTGAATTTCCAGTGCATTTATAAAAATCTCGAACGAGATTTCAGCATCAATTTTTATTACAACATAGACTTTTTAATTTCTTTTTGCTTTACATAAAACACTATCCTTACATTGAATTAATTCTATTATTATCAATTTTAATAAAAAAAAGCCTTTATAAATAAAGTACATTTATTGTTTGGCTATCTTGTACTTCTCTGTTATTTCTTGTTCTTCAGTTTAATAGGTGTACCTGCGCATGCTTTTTCGTGCATCTCAATTCTGTCCGGGAAAAACTTCCTACCACACCGTCTGCATTCAACCAACTCTGCCAAGTGATTCTCCCAAATCCTATTGAAAGTTCCAATAAAGTCTACTCCTCCAGACGCTGTGAAGAGAAAAGTATTTAAACATTCGCACTTAACATTTACATATCAAAACAATAAATGAATATAGGATGTTCCAATTTAGATGAATCAAACAATCACAGGTGGTGCTAAAAAATATTCTATCTCATATCATGTTCTGTACAAAGGTATTGATTCCTCTACGAGATAATATTTGTTCTATCTTTATGAATAATAAGCCGATTTTAACCAAATTTGGTGTAGTTTTGTTACATAGTCAACTGCATGATCTGATGCTGCATTAGTCATTTTTTATAAAACAGAAGATCTGTAAATGAAACCCTAATTATATTGTTCCTACACATGTTTGCTTAAAAAGGCATACTATTTTGCATTCTGAAAAATTTACGAGAAAATAACCCGTAGATAAATAAGGTTGCACGATTTTTACTAGGATTGTTCCGAATAGGTATTCACATTAGTAAGAGCATTAGCGCATTTGTAGTTATAATGATTTATTTTTCTTTTAAGAATTACAAAAAATTGTACTAACTTCTTTCATATAAATATTGAAGCAGATATACAGGATGTAATTTAAGTACCTACCTACATCAAAATATTTCTATCTCTATCTATTTTATAAACAGTTTAGTTTTCGAGATACAGAATGTAGTTTTTAAAATATAGCACCCATGAAAATGTCTAAAGTTTAACCTAATCTCATGAAGGGTTGGCCTAGGTCTTAACTAAGTAAAAAGGTAAACAGTCCTTGAATTATATCCACATAAAGTAACTCGGTGGCAGGATACGCTGCACGGGTATCTTCGAAATTCAGTAAATGCATTACTTTCCGAATTATATTTGACTGGAAAATTATTTTTTAAATTTTTTGTAAAATTTACCATTTTTATTTTATAATTTTATTACATCTAAAATAGCTTAGGTTTCACAAAATGGAATAAAACCATAATAACTACTAAATTGTTCGTTTCAAAGGAAAGATCTATAGGATTTTTTTGTTATAACTACGATCTTAAATACAATGTCCTTGTCAATATGTAGTTCAACATGATACTGCAAGCAAAATCTAATTTAAAACAGAATTGTTTATAGACATTTTCTGTGAAATTAGTAATTCAACAATCGCACAATAAAACATTTCCTATGCTTAAGAAACTAAATTTCTTATCAGAAGAACGGTTTCCCATTCAACTGAGATTTTCGGTAAAACGATACACTGTACCGATTTTCAACAAGTATACTTTTTTATGTAGAATTGTCCGCGGTATCTAAAAATGAATCCCAAATGATTATTAGGTCATTGGCGTGGAAGTTGAGTTAAAAAGTCCTGCTTTACACTCCATTCCTACGCCACTGACCTACAAAAATTTGCAAATTTTACAGTAGATTATGCACATGTGTAAAGGTCAACACCACACCAAATTTGAATCAATTTTTTATAAGAATACCAAAGATTTCATAAATAATATGATTTTAAAAATCGATCAATACAGCCCTGTACAGTGAAAATGGTGAGACTTAGACCTTTGCTTTATAAGGCAATTCTGAATTATTTATTGAGTTCTATTTGATTCAACAGAACTGAAACACCCTGTGTTTAAATATAGATTAGATACTTTGTAAGTTTGTAAGTAACGAAAAACAGTATGACCATGGCGTCGTCGTTTATAAAAAAATATCAGTATTTTTTTCAAATACAATGTCTGATTGATGTTTGATTCAACTAAACTGGAACACCCTGTATATAAAATCTATTTTACATTTTCAATTCTCTCAATAAATTAATTAAAAAATGGTTTGTTGTAAATTTTCTAGCTTCAATAATTCATTCATTAATAATTAAAATTATTCAGTACAGTACATATAGGGTGTCCCACTACGAACTCCATAGATTTATATCTGGGGAAACCGCTCAAAGGATTTTTTTGAAATTGTGATGGTGTGATACGAACCGTGGGGCCTACCAAGCTAAAATATTTTCAAGGTCATCGTACTTCCATACTAACTTTCTTATTTTAAATGGAACTCACTGTATATTATTGAATTTTTGGAAAGAACATGTATTTTTAAGTTGAAAACATATAGCACACTCCATACTTAGGATTGACCGTTTCCGATATATTTTGTTTTTTAAGCAAAAATTGACAGATGCAGACTGACAGCAAAATTTAGTTTTCCCAGAAACATAGATTTATTTTTTTGTGCAAATTTGATATTTTGTAGAGGAAGACCTAATGTATCGAATTTGGCATGAAAATTTTCCAGTTTTTATACAGGGTGGTCAAATTTTTTTTATCGAATATGAAGTTCAGAGAATGTGGATAACTCGAAATTTTTAAATGGAAATCCGTATTTTTTTAACGTATTTGCATTCTGCACTAAAATTAAGAGTAACTTTGTTAAAGTTTTCCTATACCTAAACCCAGTGGTTTTCATTTTATTTACGAATATTTCCCTTTTCTTAAAATGATGTTTCCATTTGTTTCGCACATTTTAGGTTGGCCGTGACAAGTAGGTAAGTAACAATCAACATGATAACTGTTACAGGTTTTGAATTGTCAAATTTATTTTAATAAATGTTCAAAATGTCTTCCTTCAATTTCTCAACTTCTAAACATTTTTCACATCGTCGCTGCTCTAATAGAATCCGGTGATAGATGCTCAAATGCTTGCCTTACCCTATGCATACACTTTTCCTTTGTTATTACCGGAGTTCTATACACACTATTTTTTAGTGTCCCAAATAAAATATCATCTATCACCGGATTCTATTAGATGTTCGACCCACAAGGAACTAAATACATTTGACAATTAAAAACCTGAGACAGCAGTTGTCATGTTGATTGTTACTTACCTGTCACGGCCAACCTAAAATGTGCGAAACAAATGGAAACTGTATTTTAAGAAAAGGGAAATGTTTATTCGTAAATAAAATGAAAACCACTGGGTTTAGGAATAGGGAAACTTTAACAAAGTTACCCTTAATTTTACTGCAGAATGCGAGTACATTAAAAAAAATAGAGGTTTCCATTAAAAAATTTCGAGTTTTTCACATTTTCTAAACTTCATATTCCATATTTTTTTTAACCACCCTGTATAAAAACTGGAAAATTTTCATGTCAAATTCGCTAAAGTAGGTCTTCTTCTACAAAATGTCCAATTTACACAAAAAAGTAAACCTACGTTTCCGGGAAAACTAAATTTTGCTGACAGTCTGCATCTGTAAATGTTTGCTTAAAAATCAAAATATCTCGGAAACGGTCAATCCTAAGTATGGAGTGTGCTATATGTTATTACTTAAAAATAGGTGCTCTTTCCAAAAATGCAATAATATACAGGGGGTTCCAGTTAAAATAAGAAAGTTCGTATCGACTTCCGGTACAACCAGAAGTACGATGACCTTGAAAATATTTTAGCTTGGTAGGCCCCACGGTCCGTATCACACCAGCACAATTTCAAAAAAATCCTTCGAGCGGTTTCCCAGATATCCATCGATGGAGTTCGTGGTGGCACACCCTATATTACCTATTTAAGTCTTGTTTTTCATCTAATCATTTTAAAGATAAATTACATATATGTAAAAAAAATTGTTATCCTTTGCAAATTATGTTTGTGATGTTTGCTTTGCATATTGGATAAATAATAAATTTGTTCGGATACGACTGTTTCTTATACCCAATTGTAATAGCAATTATTATTCGACCAAGATGCAAGAATAGAATCCACATACGAAAGATGCCTATAAAAATTTGTTTGGCTTTGAAGCCCAAAGTGAAGAATTTCATTGAAAGAAGGCTATTTAGTTAAGAATTTCAATTAGATTTCTAGTTTCTGTTCTACCTAATGTAATTATATATTTTTTAAAAATCTTTTTTATCATGTTTAATGAGTTTATTTTTCCTAAATAAATTTTATACATTTATGGCAAACTATTAAAGATTTTTTGTGAAAGGTGAGTCCGACAGCGTAGACTAATATTTCTTTGTGAAAGGTCAATTTTTGCATTATTGTTTTCTTTATACAATCTTTGTACAATAACAGTGACTGACTTTTTCAAACGTTTTGTTCTTGTAGATAAAGAGAATAATCTGGTGCATCTACAATTGTCTAATATCGAGTATTCTATATAGTTTCTAGGAATAGTGTCTCAGATGGGTAAATTAGCTTTTTATTATAAATTATCTTTATTATGCCTTTTTGTAGTATATCAACTTGCCCAAGGTGACAATATGCAGCACTACCCCAGCTCAGTATTGCATATTGTAGTCTTGATTGGACTATTGCATAATATAGTATTTTTAAGTGTGATGGATCTAAAATATTTTTTAGGTATTTAAAACGATACAAAAGTTAGTTAGTACTTTGGTTATGTTACTTGCATGAACATTCCATCGTAAATGAGAATCAATAGTGACTCCCAAGTATTTAAAATCATTTTTAGAATTTAATATTATATTATCTTTCAGTAACAAAGAGTAATATTTAGGTAGACATTTTATGTTGTTGGAAAATGGCATAAAAAATGTTTTTTCGTAGTTTACCGTTAGCAATTTGTGGCTAAACCAATTAAAAATTATTGAGAGGTCTATTTCAGTTTTATTTTTAAAAATTTCCCATGTTTCGTCATTATATAAAATAACAGTGTCATCTGCGTAACTAAATATTTGGCGGGATGTAAAAGAAGTAAGGATATTGTTAATATATAATGTAAACAAAATTGGTCCCACCACAGTCCCTTGGGGTAGGCCGTAATTAACATTTTTTTCTCTACTATGCATATTATTAATTATTACAACTTGCCGTCTGTTTGACAAGTAATCTCTAAATAGTTCATTTGGCGTACCCCGTATTCCTGCGTTCTCCAGGACTTCAAGCATCTGAGTTTGACTAACAGTGTCGAAAGCTTTAGCAAGATCTAAGAATACGCATAATGTTGGCTTACTTTTTTCTAAACACTGTCATTTCTTCTACTAATTTTGTAATAGCATGATTAGTTGATACACCTCTATATCCAAACTGTTTCTCTGAGATAATGGTTTTCATCAAAAAATTTTACAATTCGCATTTTTAAAGCTTTTTCGAATATTTTCGCTAATGTTGATATAACTGAGATTGGCCTATAATGATTTACACACTTTACATTACCCTTTTTATGTATAGGAGTAACAACTGCTATTTTAAATTGTTGTGGAACTTTACTGGTTATAAAGATTCTATTTATAATATGACATATTGGCTTCGGTAAAATTTCAGATGTTTCCTTGTAAACTTCTGTCTTTATATTACACAGCCCCACAAAAAAAAAAGTGTTCGGACTTGTGGGTCGGACATATATATTCCCATGTATTTTTCGACGCTGAATCCGATCCCGAGCTCAGAAATGGCCCTCCACGTCTGGAATTGGCCCCAGGGGCCAAAAATGGCCTATATAGGGCCTGAAAGATGAATTCCGGAATATGGTGAGGTCGAAGGTGCATTTTAAAGCCAAACCCGGATTTGTGGTCGAAAAGTTTATGGCCAACTGAAATTCCCCGTTTGGGACCGGGAAAATGACCCCTTAGGGGCCGGAAAATCGTGTTTCGGACGTCGCAATCGCAACAGTGGTATTTTTATGTACTTTTAAATTCTGGAACTCTGACTGTGCTTGAAAAGTTTATGGCCAACTGGAATCTCCCGTTTGGGACCGGGAAAATGACCCCTTAGGGGCCGGAAAATCGTGTTTCGGACGTCGCAATCGCAACAGTGGTGTTAAATGGTTTTTAAATTCTGGAATTCGAGCACAGTTTGAGTTCCAGAATTTAAAAGTACATAAAAATACCACTGTTGCGATTGCGACGT